CACACTGGAGAGAAGCCTTTCACCTGCCAACAGTGTGGAAAGAGTTTCACTCAATCTAGACAGCTTGGAGTCCACATGAGAGTTCACACTAGAGAGAAGTCTTTCACATGCTGTCAGTGTGGAAGAAGTTTCAGTAATCCTGGAAGCCTTAAAAACCACATGAAAGTTCACACTGGAGAGAAGACTTTCATCTGCAAACAGTGTGGAAGAAGTTTCAGTAATCCTGGAAGACTTAGAGTCCACATGAGAGTTCACCCTGGAGAGAAACCTTTCATCTGCAAACAGTGTGGACGAAATTTCAGCGGAAAATTAAAACTTAAATACCACATGAAAGTGCACACTGGAAAGAAACCCTTCACTTGCCATCTGTGTGGGAAAAGTTTCAAGCATAAAGCAAGCCTTTATGTCCACAGGCGAATTCACACTTTGGAGATCCCTTTTACCTGTCAACAGTGTGGAAAGAGTTTCACTCATAAAAGAAGCCTTAAAGAGCACATGATAATTCACACTGAAGAGAAGCCTTTCACATGCTCTCTGTGTGGAAAGAGTTTCAATCACTCTGGATCCTTTAAACGCCACATGAAAATTCACACTGGAGAGAAGCCTTACACATGCTATTATTGTGTAAAGAGTTTCATTGACTCTGCAGCCCTTAAACACCACATGAAAATTCACAATATAAAGAAGCCTAACGGATCCCCTCAGTGTGGAAAGTGTTTGAATAAAAGTGGAGAAAACGGGAGAATTCACACTACAAAGAGACGTTTTTCCTGCCAACAGTGTGTAAAGAGTTTCGCTCAAAAAAGAAGCCTTAATAGGCACATGAGAGCTCACACTGGAAAAAGCCTTACACATGCAAACAGTGTGGAAAGAGTTTCACTCAACGAGGAAACCTTTGACAGGCACATGAAAATTCACAATGGAGAGAAGCCTAACAGATCCCCTCAGTGTGAAGAGAGTTTCAATGAAAATGTATAAAATGGATAGTTCCTTGATTCTGATTGGTTGAGCCACATTCTAAGCTGTTGTAAATTACTCTACAAACATACACCTCTTTGTTTGTCGTCTGTGTGTTGTTCGGCAACCACTTTGTTGCAACCACAACTGTTTCTGAGGAACCACATTGTTTGGCAGAATAATGTTTTTATTAATATCATTACATTTAATTTGCTTTGTTTTATTTTGTGAGACCTTGCTACGTATATGGAATAACCGTTTTATAAAAGCAATAATCCCCATGAAGCAGTGGTTTACAGTGAATTTATGACAGCTAAGGGGGTTTTAGGCACTCCACTCTGCATCGTGCCAACAACGTCCCTAAGCTGTTATAAACTCACTGCAAACCACGGGTTCTTGTGGCTTATTGCTTTAGTAAACCTTGATGTCCACAGGCAAATTCACACTATGGAGAGCCTTTTTACCTGCCAACAGTGTGGAGAGTTTCACTCATAAAGGATACCTAAACGGGCACATGAGAGGTAAAGGGATAGTTCACCCAAAAATGTAAATTCTGTCATTAATTAGGCCCAATTCTACCCCTTAGCCCTTCACCTTTTCCTTTGCGTTCACGTGAAGGGGTAGGGGTGTCTCAATTCTTTTTTGTTTGGAGGGGTAGGGGAAGGGCCAGATAGCCCTTCAAACGAAGATTTTTCAGGACCACACTTCAAACGAAGGGGTATGAATTATCAGGGGCAACATAGCTGCCCGAGTGAACAAAAAGACACATAAATGTAAGCATTTTTGGCATTAATAAAGATTTTAACGAAAAGTAATCATTTGTTTTGTTACATTCAATCGTGAGTTCATATTTACGGTCATGTTACTCAAAGAAATGTTTGCAAAAAAATCACTAATATTTGCTAACTAACGTCATCATTACTGACTGCACGATAGTGCCACAACATATTTACATGTCTGATCAGGGCGATAACCACCGTAGACATTGAGGGGGGCTAGTCCCCCCCAATAATTAGAAATCGCTAAACCCTTTTCTGAAATATTGCCAATTCGAGAGAGAGAGAGAGAGAGATGAAAGTTGCGTGTATACTCTTTTTAGAGTGAGTTTACTTTAAAAAAAAAACAGCGATTTTATCCTCTCGTTGCTGGAAAATATAATGTAGTGATTCAGTATTTAAACTGTTATTAATAAAAGTCGTGGGGCAGCGTTGACAAGTTTCTTTTCTCCTGGATGTGTGAGCTGCGCGATCTCCGATATATATATATATATATATGTGTGTGTGTGTGTGTGTGTCAGTAAGCAACGCAGTAATATAGAACGGTAATTAAAGGCTCTAATGCACACCAGCACACCAGTATAGGTGTGTGTATTGTAGGAGCTAGACGACGTGTGATGGCATGGTAGTGGTGTCCCAATTCTTAGGGGAATATTTTCACCCCTACCTTGACCCTCTTGTTTCAAGGGGAAGGGGTAAAAAATAGAATTTGGATTGGGCTTTACTCACCCTCATGTCGTTCCAAATCCGTAAAACCTCTGTTCATCTTCGGAACACAAATTAAGATATTTGTGATGGAACCTGAGAGCTCTTTGATCCTCCCATAGACAGCAAGGGTACTACCACGATCAAGGTCCAGAAACGTAGCAAGAAGATCGTTAAAATAATCCATGTGACATCAGGGGTTCAACCGTAATTTACGAAGTTATGAGAATAATTTTTGTACTGCCTCTTTCTATCCTTCAAATACAGTGTTATTTTTCATAATGTTGTGGAGATGCCTTCACACAACATTAACAACATTAAGCAGCTGTGGTTGTACAGTAAGCTATTGTCATTGGTCCTATTCAAACCGGACAATAGACCGTTCCACCGAATCCAGCAGTGTCCACCACAATATCGCATCATATATTGCACATCATTGTTCTCGCTAAAAATATTTTCTCATAACATGAGATGTGCAGTTTACTTTAAAGATAAAGTATTGTGTACCTATAACACTCATCGCTGTCATTAAAACATAACATACCACAGGAAAAGTAATCAAGCGCATCCACTACAAATAGGCTAAATTCATATAATTTTGGTTTAACTTCTGCGTAATGACTTTATATAATTTCAGTACTTATCTCCATTAATGAGAGTGGAATATTTAATGTAAATGTATATGATGAAATGAAAACAGTTTAAAATCGTTGTTTACTTCATTACTTTTCTCTCTCCAGGGAAAAAAGTCTGTACGCATGGGTCAGAATTTGCGTGCAGGTGCGCAAATTTTCCCGTCAAGTTTGTTTTTTATAAATCCCACCTTTTGCGTAGGAAGTGGCGTAGGCCTACGCCTCTTTCAGGGCAGGTTTTGTGCGTATGCACTGGTTATAAATGAGGCCCCTGGGCATTAAAAAACCCCATACATTCGGTCTTTATGAGTTTGTAAACATTAATGACGTAGGGCTGTCATGATATGAGATTTTTCACTACACGATTATCGTGACCTCCAAAATTCACGATAACGATATATCGTGATATCTATAGAAATCTTGAATTTTTATTTTTTTGACCAATGAATTACACCATTGCATACAAAAGGAGCAATTACTCTAAACAGAAGAGACTAAAATGCTAACCGTTTTTAGCTTAGCACAATGTCAATGTAAGACAATTTATGAGAATAACTAACGTTACATATTTTTACTCTAAACTTGTGTTATAGCATCGATCAAGTGTTTAAAAGAATTTACTTCAGTTAACTGATTTTTATTTTATAGTATTCTATACAGTGATTTAGGTTATGTCGATTAGCATTTCAATATAAATATTCATTATCCATATGAAAATACCTGAGATGGCTTGAAGAACACAGTTATAATCGGTTATAATCATGTGCTGATGCTCCTGGCGTTTCAACTATAGATATGTATAGATGCCACATTCGGCCGCTCCAGATACGTTGACACGTCCTCCATCTTGGAACAGTCTATGTCATGACTCACAATAACAATCAGTGAGTTTCAAAATGCAACAACATTGTGCAGCATCTGGTTGTAAAAACCCTCAATTTAAATTCCTGAAGAAACTGCATAACCTTTCACAGGTAAGAATGTGTTGGTTTGTGTTTTTAATATGTATTAACATAATATTACAGGTTTTTAAACTAAAGTTTAAATGCCGTGTTAGCTAACAGCTTTATCTTGTTGTATTATGTTAGTTTAGCAAAAGCATCTTCTGAAGTCTACTTAAGATATAAATATTCATACATGCATATATACAGTTGCAATGCAGATGCAAAGTCAACTTGTGCTCAAAGGTTCGCAGACCATTCCAAAATGGTGGACGAATTACGTATCGTTGGAGGGGTAGGGGAAGGGCCAGATAGCCCTTCAAACGAAGATTTTTCGGGACCACACTTCAAACGAAGGGGTATGAATTATCTCAGCGTAAACCGGCTTCAGCGGCAACATGGCTGCCTGAGCGAACAAAAAGACACATAAATGTAAGCGTATTTGGCATTAATAAAGATTTTGTTTTATGTTACTTTCAATTGTGAGTTCATATTTACGGTCATGTTACTCAAAGAAATGTTTGCAAAAAAATCACTAATATTTGCTAACTAACGTCATCATTACTGACTGCACGATAGTGCCACAACATATTTACATGTCTGATCAGGGCGATAACCACCGTAGACATTGAGGGGGGCTAGTCCCCCCCAATAATTAGAAATCGCTAAACCCTTTTCTGAAATATTGCCAATTCGAGAGAGAGAGAGAGAGAGATGAAAGTTGCGTGTATACTCTTTTTAGAGTGAGTTTACTTTAAAAAAAAAACAGCGATTTTATCCTCTCGTTGCTGGAAAATATAGTGTATCGATTCAGTATTTAAACTGTTATTAATAAAAGTCGTGGGGCAGCGTTGACAAGTTTCTTTTCTCCTGGATGTGTGAGCTGCGGCAAGAAGATCGTTAAAATAATCCATGTGACATCAGGGGTTCAACCGTAATTTAACGAAGCTACGAGAATACTTTTTGTGCACAAAAGAAAAAAAAAAAGACTTTATTCAACAATTCGTCTCCTCCACGTCACCCTAGCGCCATTTTGGAGAGTATCCACTGAACGCAAACCGCGTATGTTGTTCTGTGTCAGCCGACGAAGGTACAAGACAATAAGGAAATATGAAATATGGACTATAAATGCCATTTGTGCCATACACATGAACTTTTATTGCTAAAAATCATCCAGTATCCTTGTGTTTTATAATAAATATATAAAAATATCCATAAAAACAAAAATGTTTAGAATAACTCTATTCTAAAATATTTATCTGAGAACTAATCTCAATGTTTTTCACTGGCCCAATAGTGTTTCAATTGTTTAAAACAATTCAAATAAAATAAAATGTATGCAGTTTCGCTGATAAGGTGAACCTCTTTTAGCTATTTTTTTAGCTGATTATCTAATCAGATAGGCCTATATTTATTGCACTGTAAATAAAGGGAAACGTGCAAATCTTGCCTCTTTCTTCATGTTGTATCCTTCAAATACAGTGTTATTTTTCATAATGTTGTGGAGATGCCTTCACACAACATTAACACCTCTGTGCAGCTGCGGTTTTACAGTAAGCTATTATCATGGGTCCTATTTAAACTGTAGAATGGACTGTTCGACCACCAAATCCAGCAGTGTTTGCCATAATATTGAAGTGTGCATCACTGATCATTTTTCTGGCTAAATATTTATATTTTCTCATAACATTAGATCTGCAGTATAGTTTGAATAAATATTATTGTGCACCTATTGCACTCTTCGTTGTCATTGGAACAAAGCCACAGGAAAAGGGATCAAGTGCATCCACTATAAATGTCTAAATTCATATAATTTTTGTTTAACTTCTGTGTAATGACTTTATGTAATTTCAGTGCTTTCTCCATTAATGAGAGTAAATGTGTATATCGAAATGAAAACAGTTTAAAATCCTTGTTTACTTCATTACTTTTCTCACTCCAGGAAAAAGAGTGCGTACGCACAGTCAAGAGCATCCGTACGTATTTATGCAAAAA